GAGTAAAAAATTTAAAATTTTTATGAAAATTCATTAAATTTTCCTTAAATTGTATACATTTTGATACCTTGATAAATGGTTTTGTTTATAGCATCAACCATATTTTTGTACAAAAATAATAAAAAAAAATTATAGCTTGCAAAACATTGTGAATATTTAATAAAACAAGGGTGAACGCAGATATAGTGGTGCGAGCGTATATATAGAGCACTCACCAATGGACTCCTGCGCAGCTTCTTTGAATTCTTCTTCAATAATCGCACCCATATCTTCGGCTACTGAACATTCTGTCAATATAGTCGTTAGTCTGGCGCGCAAACCACCACGTTTATGCGGGGTCAATGAGGCAGATACGGCCTCCTCATTGTCCAACGACAGCGATGAACGTCGCCTTGTGATACGATGTGGCGTGTAACTCACCTCAGCTGATGCCGAAGCCCGACGACGCGTGGAGCGGCGCGGTGTACCAGCTTCGGTGACGACTTCCAGAGTTGGTGTTATACAACGAGTCGGCGTGAGATCCGCATTTGCTGAAGCTCTGCGTCTAGCACTGCGTCGAGGCGTATAAGTGCTGCTATCAATTGCCAGTTGTGGAGTTTGTGCGTTCATTCTGCTTTGTAGCGGCGTTTTCAACAATGTCTGTATGCCTATCAGCTCCTCCTCGTCACCTTCAACTGCAGCAGACGCCGCTGCTGCGCTGGTGGATGCCTTCGGAGTGCGCATTAGATTACGCAAGCCAATAAAACGGGGTGTGGAGGTTTGTGATTGCTTTGGGGTGCGCAGCATTTCACGTATACCACGGAGATTTGGTGTTTTGGGCTCCTCCAACGCAGAGACACCAGTTTCAGTGGCGATGTCAACGGGTTTGTTATCCTCATCGGCGGCAATGATTTTCTTCTCTTCCTCCTCCTCGTTAGTGACTGCATCAACTGTTTTGACGTTTTCATGTACCTCAATAACAGTTGTGTTGGTGTCAATTGGCATAGTCGCAAATTCATTGGAAGCCTGCGTTGGCTTTTTAGTTGCTTCCGACACTTCGTTGGAGTCATTTTCGATTGATGTGGGGTTTACTGCAGGTTTCCCGGAGTCCACTGAAGACCCCTTGAGTTCTGAAACAGATTCTTCAATTGCCTTAGCCGGCTCTGCTATCGTATTGCCAATAAAAGACTTATCTGTCTCTACTTTTCCGAATTTATTCGAATTCGGGACAGCAATCGTTAACGATTTCGCTTCGCAATCTGCTGGTGTTGCATGTAAATCTTTGTCGGTCACTGAAGTTTGTTGATCTACTTCATCATCGGTAAACAATATATTTTCTTCAAATATTTCGGTTTCTTCATTTTCTATCAGTTCAATTTGTACAGACTCCACCACAGCAGCCTCCGAGTCAATAGCATCTGATTTTGGTTCGGATTTAGCGGCTTTTGTTTCATCCGCAAGCTCATTTGGAGCACCTTCACTATGATCTACCGGCTTCTCTTCAAGGTCGCCTGTTGTAGACTCTGGCGCATTAGAAGTATTTACTTCGGCAGTAGTTATTTCGAGCATCTTCATTTCTGGTTCTGTAGGGTTAATTGTAATTTGATCAACTTCACCTACGCTTATCGGTTGTTTGGAGGCCCCTTCTTGCTCTTCTGATGTTATTGTCTTTTCTACAGAGCTACTTTCAGTAGTGGACACATCAAACTCACTGGGCGTGGTTATCGATGTAATCGATACCATTTCCGTTTTCACTGAACTAGCATTAGAGCCGGTGGACACGATCTCAGATGTTGATGGCAATATATCAGAATCAGTCGATGATACATCCTCATTCACGCCTGGTTTAGCGTCGGGGGCCATCTTACTTGAATTTGGATCTTCCGAGACAGCATTGTCGGCGTTCTGGTCGCTGATTGTAAAGTCTTCCACATCAGCTTCCAATTTGTTGGTATTTGTTTCTTGTTCAGCAGTCAAAGCACCTTCTATTGAAGTACTGTGTGAAACGTTGGTATTATCCTTAGCAACAAGCTCTTCGATTTTCTCGCCTACGTTCGCAGAAATCGCTGCTTCCAATTCAACGGCGTCCTCATTTCCACTGCTCGTGTTATGTATGTCTTTGCCCAACTGCTGTTGCAATTCATCAGATTTATTCAGAACATAATCGATCTCTTCCAGCAGTTCCGCTGTGCCTTGAGATTCCCCGGTGGCTTTGGGAGCGCCTTCGTCTTCAAGGCCTTCGGTAGGCACTGGAGTGACCAGAATGGTTTCGGCTTCGTTGGCATCTAGTTGTGCAACCATGACGCTACTGCTTACCTCATCTGCATCTAAGGTCTCGAGAACTCTATCGTTGGACTCTTTTGAAGTCTCTTGCGTTTCAGCTTCCGTAGTGTTTACTATTTCTCTGATCCGGTTAGAATCTGCAGAGATATCTTGCTGATCCGTTTCCAAAATAGTTGCACTCGTACCTAATAATTGCTCAGTCCTAACACTTCGTTCCTGGTGTTGCTGACTAGCTATTGTCCCTTCTTGTGGATTAGTCGCCTCTATTGGTTTATCACTCGACTCGACAACTTCGGCGAAACTTTCCGATATGTGTTCTGACACGTTATTGTCTTTATTTTCTTTGAAGTCTTGCACACTCTTCTCTTGCTTTTCAAACCCAATGGTTTCTGCAACATCAACGGGTATATCAGGCCCTGCCTCGGCCCCAACCACAGATACTGATTTCTCTGGCGAAAACGTTTTATTAATTTCCTGATTTTGTGACACGGATGCCTCCATTTGCTTAATGGAATCTTGTTCAACCGGCGAAAATATTACATTTTGAGCAGTAGAAGTATTTTCAGCTTTAAGATTCACCTCCTCTAGCGAGTCATCCACAGTGAAGGTGCGGCTTAACTCATTAACTTCATTTTTAACATTATCGCTTAAAACATTCTCTTTCCCTTCTTTTCCTGGAGTATCTGAAGGCAAGTCCTCATTTTTTGTTTTCTCCGATGCTAAATTTGTAGTTTCATTTTGTCCGCTTCCCTTTATCGCGGCTGCAACTAGGCTGCGCGCACGCGAAGCTACTTGACTGCGGCTTGCGCTAGCGGTGCAGAGTGACTTACGTGCTTTTGCCACAAGTTGAGCACCGATGGATGTTGGTGAATGTTTGCGTGGAGGCACAATCGAACGCCGTGGTTTCGAAATATGTGATGTGAGTGTTGAGCTGCCGAATGATTTGCGCACACCTCGTAGTGGTGAGGTACGCTTTGCTGCTGCTGCGCGCGATGCAGAAGCGGGCATTTTCCTGCCTAGAGTGGCACCCGTTTGCAGCGGAGTGGAAGTTGTTATTGCACGCTCCCTTGCGGGGGTTGATGTGCTGCTTGCACCAGCCAAGCTGCGCCCTGTCGTGAAGCTGCGACGCTGTGCTGCAGCCACGTTACTCGGAGATCCTATAGCGATGCGTCCCTTAAGCGTGGAACGGGCTGATCCGGTTTCATCCATATTAACTTTACGCTTAGGTGTGGTGGGTAGTTGTCGAATTGGCGTGGTGCTACTGGGCGCCGTACGTAGTGGAGTGTTGACCTGCTTCTTGGCGCTGGTCAATATGGCACGTTTCATTAGGGACTGCGGTGTGCGCAGTGGAGTAGAAGTCACCTGTTTATGTCCACCACGCTGTGGGGTCTTCGACGGTGCACCCGCACGCATGGACGGTGAACTAGTGCTGGGGGTGGCCGAGTCTTCTGTAGAGATTTCAATTACCGCAGTAGATGAGTCAGTGGAACCATCGACACTTATAACTGACTCAGCACTTTGTGGCGTTATATTGGATTTACTGGTCGACGGCTCTACTAACGGAGTCCCTGGTAGCGTATGAACGCCCTCCTCTTCCTCTGGACCTTCTTTTAGGTTGGAAAAGGCGAGCGGAGTGGTAGACAGTTTGACGTCGCTGGGAAGTGTTTTATTGCATTTAAAAGTAGGGCGTCGACGCGAGCTGGCTGGTGCCAATATGCTCGGTGTAGTTAAATCAATTAAATGCATGGAGGAATTTCCGGCAGCCGTACGTGAACCGAAAGCTTTCTTCGACGTTGCCGGCGTGGTGAAATCAATAAAGTCGCGACTGCCTTCGTCGTTGTAATCAGAGAGCACGCTTTTCGGCGTGCTGTATACGCTCCTGGGAGTCCTGGCTAGACAAGTAACTGAAGGCTTACAAACTGCTGTAAAAGATTTTTCGATGCGAACGCCGGTTTCGCGGGGTGAGTACGATGTGATCACAACATCAGATTGGTGGCACAACGACAAAAGACTCCTTTTCTTTTCAGTACTTTTATTTTCTTTGTTTTGTGTACAATTTATTAGATCCGCTTTCGGGGTATAATCTAACTTAATTAGCGGTGTACTGGCAATGGTTGGCGCACTTCGCTGTAGCTCTGGTGTAACGCTTCGACGTTCCTTAGGCAAAGTTTCTACTTTTATTTTGCCATCTGCACTATCTTTTGATGCAGTAGTTTGATTTGATATGCCAAGTTCATTATTACAAACTTCTGGTAGTTGTGAAGATGTGTCCTCTTTTGCTTCGGACTTATTTGTGTCTGTGCTGGTACTAACTTCTTCACCATTCTCGGACTCCGTGATGCTTGGTATTTCAGATGAAGTGTTACCTTCGTCATCTGAGTTAATGCAGTATGCAAAGCTATTTGTTGAAAAATTAAATAATTCCCAAAAATAATACATTTAGATATTTTGTTGTGACATATTGTATTTTAAGACAAATGCGTATGTTTTCAAATAAAAAATGTTGCTCAAGAAAAAACTGAAGAGAATGCACGCAATTATGAATGTATGTATGTATATATATCGACCAATATCGACTTTATTTCAAAGCTCTAATATGATGAATATTTTAGTTTAGGTGAACATTATAACTCGAGTAAAAATTGAGATATCTTAACGAAACTTTGTACGTGCACTTCTTTCGGACGTGGGTCGGATGGTATTGAAAATAGGAAAAATCGGACTAACAACCACGCCTACCTCCCATATAACGGAAATTTTCAAAAATACGAAAACTGCAATATTTTAGTAACTACTAAAGATTATTCACTCAAAATTGATATTTACAATAGTTTTAGACGACAAACAAGAATACTATAAATTTTTAGAAAATGGGCGTAGCCACGCCTACTTATGGTTACATGTGTATATCTTGGTAACCGCTGCGCCAATTTCTTCCAAACTTGGCACAGTTGTTAGCCTTGCTACAGCATACCAAATGGCCGAAAATTTTTAAAATCGGACAATAACCACGCCCACATTCCATATAAGGGTAATTTAGATAAATACGAAATCTTTGATAAATCAGTAAATATTAAAGCTAATTTATTCAAAATTTACGCTTGCAACAATTCTTTACCAAGAAATACGTTTACGATAAAATTTTGGAAAATGGGCGTGGCACCGCCCACTTATGATCACATATACAGTTGTCCACAAAATAATAGGAGTGGGATATTTTAACCTGTTTTGGCTATTTGTCTTTAGTTTATTTAATGTTTCGTATTTTTTTGTAAAAGCCTAGCTGGTAATACAACAAACACCATATAAATTTACTCTTTCAAGTTTGTACAAAAATTATAAAAATTCTGCAAATTTTCACCAAAATATCAAACTTTTTAATCAGAATCTTTAGAAAATATGTTGGTATGTAGTTTTGTAGCCCATTCAATTCTAGTCTGAAGAAGTGCAAGTTTCAAGCTGCTAAAAAATTCCGTTGATTTTTGAGAATTTTTTCGGTTGAAGGTGTTTCACGTTTTTTCCATACAAAGTATGTTCGACAATTTTCTTTTATATGGGGACAGTGCCAGCAAAAAAAATTGCCAAAAATCAACGGAATTTTTTAGCAGCTTGAAACTTGCACTTCTTCAGACTAGAATTGAATGGGCTATAAAACTGCATACCAGAATTTTCTCTGAAGATTCTGATTAAAAAGTTTGATATTTTGGTGAAAATTTACAGAATTTTAATAATTTTTGTACAAGGGTTGAAATCTGAATTTATTCGTTGTTTGTTGTATACCCAGCTTGACTTTTGTATAAAAATAATAAACATTAAATAAACAAAAGACAAATAGCAAAAACTGACCAAAATAACGCACTCCTATTATTTTGTGGACCACTGTATTTAATGGCCGAAATTTTTTAAAATCGGACAATAACCACGCCCACATCCCATGTAACGGTAATTTGGAGAAATACGAAATCTTCGGACAAATCAGTAAATATTAAAGATAATTTATTCAAAATTGATGCTTTCAACAATTCTTTACCATGAAATACGTTTATGATAACATTTTGGAAAATGGGCGTGGCACCGCCCACTTATGATCACATATATGTATCTCGGTAACCGTTTTACCAATTTGTACCAAACTCGGTATGTGCCACATAAAAGCAAAACGTTGAAAATTATTGAAATCAAATTAAAATTGAGGCCGCTTTTGATATAACGGTAAAATTCAGAAATGCTGCAAACTAAGGACGCTAATTTACACCCCGGCTTACCATGTAGCGGTAGCTTTCAGAAAGGTGAAAATCATATATTTAATACTTGCGCCGGGTATCTAATGTTCGACTCCGCCCGAACTTAGACTTTCATACTTGTGAGTTCAACTGAGTTAAGTTGAGTTAAGGTAAGGTGAAGTTAATTTAAGTGGAAGGTGAAGTGAGCTTAGATAAATGACGTGAGTTGAGCTGACTTGGGGTAAGGTAAGTTGAGGTGAAATAACCAGAGACCTAGAATAATAATTATTTCATGGGGGAGTTTTGAAAAAGTCATCCAAATGTTCGTAAGAATTATAAAAGTATTTTGATAGACTTTTTTAAGCCATTGATAACTATTATTTTAAGACTTATATTGTAAAAGTCTTTTGATAATAATTATCAGCAAGATATATATTTTTAACTCTTCAAAGACTTTTATTTTGAGACTTGTATTATAAAACTTTTGTCATAATAATTATCATAGAGATAAACATTTTTAAGTTTTCAAAGACTTTTATTTTCAGACTTATATTATAAAAGTCTATTCATATCCCCCTATTCTAGAACCCGAATTTTCGAAATTCGTAATTCGTAACTACGTTACGAAAAACGTAAAACCGATTGAAACATTTGTATAGTGTTGTCAATGACACATGTAAGATAAACACAGTTTTTACAGGAAAGTAATTTTTATTTATGCAGTTCAACAGTTTATTTAATAGCTTATTTATTCAGTTAGTTTAACAAAGCAAAATACGGTTGTTGTAAAAAATTTGTTGCAGTTTTTTTTTTTTTTAAATTACACAAATTGCGAATAACAGCGACCGCGTGGTCGAAGAGCCATTTTGCGACTGATGTAGCAGACTACCGATGGACTTCGACATCTGTGCCAAGTTGACATTGATGAAACGGAACGGAATGCTAACAAACTTTTCTCAAATGTTTCGCAAACCGTTCTTAACTTAAATTGATAAATAATGTTTGAGAAAAATTTGAGAAAACGTTTAGTTTCAAATGATAAACAATGCTAGAAATCAAATTGAGAAATACAAATTAATTAAAAAAACACTCATCAAGTGCTTATTTATAGTAACATTGTTTGATTTTACATGTTTTGAAAGAAACGATGGATTCTATAGCATTTGCAATTATAGCAGCGGAGTAAGAGCGCGTTATGGGAATGATTTCACAAAGATATGCGGAGCTGTCGGGCATAGTAACCATGGCCGCATCTATGTCAGCTTCTGGTTGAATTGTTGAACCGCAAGCCAGAACTCCCCCTATGTCTGAATAACTGGTTCTCATTCCAGTCAATACAATACCAACTTTGTTAGGTCCACCACCTGTTGCGCTTGCTTCTAAAATGGTGACAGGTAATAAGGTCAATGGAAATAAGGTCAATTGACTTACAATAAACATTGCCCCGTAAGTGTTGTTTTTGAATAAATGAAAAAGGTTATTGCCAAATCCTCAGTGTTGTGATATTAATCCACACACAATCATGAACTACCACCAAATGATTGTATTAAAAAAATTTAAATTACGAATATGTAAAAACACGATGCGAAAAACTAAACGCACAGCTGGAATACGAGAAATATTTGAAGAAAGAGTGTAGAAATGATCCATAACTTGCAATACATGTTTCATTTCCACAAAATAAAGCGAACACTATTAAATTGAAGAAACAGTCCATGACCAAAAACCCCGGAGGAACCCTGAAAGAATTCTGTTTTAAATTAGCATATTTTGAACGAATTCGGAATGTCTAAGGTGGAAAAGAAAGCAACCTTTCTATAAGGAAACAATGTCTCCGCCAGCAATTTGTGACGACATCATTTAAAAGCAGCTAAGGAGAATGACGACACTATTTATTAGATGGCACATTCAACGAGCCAATGTGCCAAAATACGGGTATAAACAATTATTGATTATTTAATATCGGAACCAAGATCATATAAGTTAATTAATTGGTTTTCACACACTTTTGTAACACAAATTATATGCTTTTTTACTGCAGACAAGTTGTTGCCCCAAAACACAGCAGAAATCTTCCAATCAGGGCTGCCAACTATCGTTAGTTATGAGGTGCCATATTGAGGATAAAAAAGTGCCAAAATGTGCCAAATAGAAAAATAAAAGTGCCAAAAAAGGTGTCATTCCTTTTAATCATTCACATTTAGCAATAAAAAAAAGCCACATTTTCCAAACAAAAGTGCAATGATAAAATAAGATAAACCAGTTGAATAGCCTTTATAAATTAGAAAAATTTTAGTTGAGAAAAAGAAGTGCACGCAAAGGATTTCACAAAAATTTATTGAAATGTAATTTTTTTACAAAAGTGCCATTTTGGCACTTTGTGCCAAATTGAAAAATTAAGTGCCATTTGAAGTAAAATAGGGACAAATGGCACGATTTGAGCCAAGTTGGCATCCCTGCTTCTAATAACTTACATATATAAAAATGTGAAATATCGAGGGCTTGGATTCATTAATACCCTCTATCTGCAATTTGCACAAAAACTAATTTGTGATTTTAGAAACCATCTGGGACTTATTACCTGTCGTTATATAAGGTAGCATTAATATCACTGATGACAGTTAAAGCTTAGGTGGATTTTTATGTCAGAATCTCACGGCGTAGCGTGACGTGGTGTGCGCCCCGGTCGCGCGGTGTGGCGCGGTGTGGCGCGCTGACGGGGCCGCCGCGAAGCTAAGCAAATTTAATGTTTGAAAGAGAAATAATGTCAATGGATTTTATTTCGTTTTTAAAAAGGTAATAACGTCAATTGACTTTATTTCGCACCAGGGTGGAAAATAAAGTCAATTGACCTTATTTCCGTTGATCTTATTACCAGTCACCCATTTTAAAAATAATTGCTGGATAATCGACTAGGTGCCAAGTTAGCACTACATACCATTTTTTTCTTAACAAACGAAAGCTACAAATGTTTTCTTTCCACAATAAATTTACAACAAGCAGGCTACAATAAATGCCGTTTTCCCATGTTTGCTATCGTTATTTAATCGACAGTGGGGCATGGTGTCAAGTTAGCACTACATACTAAATTTTGTTCGAAAAACAATCAACTCAACTTTTTCAGAAAAACGAAAACTCCAAATTTTTTCATTTCACAACAAATTTTCAAGTCAAA